ACGTATCGTGAATAGGCCCTGGAGGGGGGGGGGGCTGAAACTAATCCCAGTTGACATTGGGTGAGAGACGGGATACACCCTGGTCAGGTTGTCAGTCTATCACGGGGCTGACACTAAGAGACAAACAACCACACTCACTCCTATGTGCAATTTAGAGTCCCAGTCAGCCTAAGCTGCATGTCTTTGGACCGTGGGAGGAAGCCGGAGTATCCGGAGAGAACCCACGCAGGCACAGGGAGAACATGCCAAATCCACACAGAAAGGCCCCGGGTCACCCGGGTCTCAAGCTGTCCAGTGTCTTTAAATACTAATTATCAGGCTTTAACTTGAATGTCACCTAAATTAAACAAATGTTATGCTTTTATATAGATGCAGAGAGATCAATTCATTTAAAATAACTTCTTAGCAGTTTACAATGACAAATCTGGGACTAGTAAAAGAAAGTGGGGATGGACAGCACAGATATGCATCTCCCACAATGTGGCAAAAACATATATAACACCAACAGGATATTACATCTCAAATTTTGTGCGAATCCAATGGAGAGAGGAGCATAAAGCACTTCAAAATAGAATGCTGTGCTCTCTCTCTCCCCTCTTCTTCTCAAGCTCCATCAAACATTTGTTCACAGTTTTCATTTTGTCCAGTATATATAATTACATTCATCAATAGTTATTAATTGTTCAGTGTGAATCCATGGTAAAACAAATTACAACTCACCCAGTTTTTTATTTTGTAAGACTAATATCGCCAAAGTAAAACATTGTTTTATTTCATTTTCTCCATTTTTGTAGACAGAATAATAGACACAGTTGACAGAAAATAAGAACTATATATGAATCAGAATCATTTTCTATTACTCTTCTCTCTCATTGTTCCTCTACATTTGTTTTCTCTTCCTTCTTGTTTTCGACCTCCTATCTCCCCTTCTTACCCCCCTTCCCTCTCTTGACTTCAATCTTGACTTCAACCTCATCCTTCCAAAGGTTTTATAATTCAGCACATGAACCACGGCTGACGAGCTGCTGGCAGAGCTTTCTGGAACCGGCCACCTAGATTTGAACTTCACACAGCGCTTGCTTTGTGGTCTGCCTAGTGTTGAGGTGCAAGGCTTGTGAGCTTGTTTCAACCCACCTGCCACTGGGCTAGCATTTGCTGTTCCAAGTGAACATCAAAGAGATCCAAATCAGATCCCTGCATAAATGCAGAGCAAAGATCTCCACTACTTGCACTCTGCAGGTAGCCGTTAGTTCATGAGCCATGTACCAGGAATAGCTCTCTCCGGGAAATGAGGCTGATCTGAGCTCTAGAGTGAAATGAAAAAAAAAATAAATAAAGGCATGTGGATTGCTGTAGCTTCATGTCTAGGTTTTTAAAGTAGAAATAGTTGTACTGGTTCTAAGAGTATTAGGTCGTGGCCAAGGTAAAAGCATGACTAATCTTTATAATTAAGCAGGATCGATGGTCTCATTTATGGCACAGCTGAACAGCATTATTAGACCAATGTTCCAGAATAGTAGCCTTGTTAAACACTGTGTTCACTCTGCTTGCTGATGTGATGGAGTAAGTTATGGTATATTACAAAGCATCCCGGGCAGCGGCTGGCGTATTGATGCTTCCTGGGTAAATCCTAATGAGCGATGGTGCTGTGTTTGTCAGGGAGACCTGGGCTGCAATCTGTCTGCTGAGCCAGCCAGAAGCCCTAATGATATCATCAGGAAGTGCCGTCAACAGCGCTCTAACGAGGAATGATCTGACTCCCACTGTTTCTCCTCCCTCCTGTATCTTCCACGCCTTCTCCTCTGTTGTGTAAAGCATTTAGGTTGTGTTTACTTGCACGAACTACAAGATAAAGTCTGACAGAGATAAGAAATCCAGTCTTATGTTTTATGTTCTTATAAAACATAATAGCCTAAAAATGTGGAAAAATTACATGAAATCCACGAAACACTGCAAAAAAGTAATTAAAATACTCATGAATAATGGTGAATTCAAAATAATTAAAGTAATCCAGTCACGGTTGTAGCCAGGGTATCAGCTCATATAGACTTTAATATTTCTTTCCC